ACCCACGATTCGATTGTTTAATTGTGCGTTTTCAATCCGAATTATATTTAAATAATCAAAAAATATCGTTAAAACACAAGATGAAATATTTTTACTCCAAGTATCGATAAAAAAATAGTTATTATTCGTATGGATCGCAACAAAACGATAATTTATAATTTAGATTTTTGTCACTTTGATTCTTACTTTGAGACAGGTTCTTACTTACATTTTATCGATTTACAAATAATTTTAATGGATTAATAGATTCTTGCGATTAAAATGATATCAAACACGTGGATGCAGCACCGATAATGCGCACCGATGCACATTAAAAGCTATCATAAACAAATTTATAGAAGCATAATTAATTATTATATTTTCCTATAGTTTTAACTATGTTCTATTGTTTTTTAAGGAATTTTAATTGTTGACAGCGTTAATTAATCATTTCATGTTTATATGTTCGCGGATAATATTATCAGCTATCAGATTTTCGCAAAATATCATAAAATGTCGAAAAATCACGATATCTTGTGTAATATTGTTTTTTTAGCCTATAAAATGTTAAGAGTGTTTTTTTTCTATCTTGTAGAATTCTACTCAGAATTTTAATTAAAAAGCCGAAAATGCAAAAATAATACTTCTCGGGAGATTTAAATATGTATTTATATGACATATATACGTGAAATTGTGATTCTTGTAAGGAAATTTATTCTATTATAATTGTTATTATAATTGTATTTTCCTATAATTTTAACCACTTTTCTTCTTTTGATTTCTAAAGAGCTTTATTTATTAACAGCGTTAATTAATTGTTTCACGTTTATATGATCGCCCGATGTTATATACATATACTATCAGCTGACAGGCTTTCGTAAAATGTTATACGAAGACTCGCAATTTTTTTTGCAATATTTTTTAGAGTATAATAGAGTACTTTTTGCATTGTGCGGGATTTTATCTTGAACTCTAATTACAACACCAGAAATGTGAAAGAGTATTCGTCTCGAGACTTTCAGATATATCTTTATATAACATAAATAAATCATTTTTTGAAATAGATGTCTATTCTAATTTTCCTATAACTTTAATCATGTTCTTTCAAATTTTAAAAAGGTCTAATCATTATCAACGTTAATCAATTTACTCATGATTGTATATGGTCGCTTGATTGAAGATCGCTTCTTTAACGTATCTCTTCTAAATGTTGCTTAATTTTTGGAATGGAGTACTATTCTATATATTATAGTATAATAAATTTTCTAATAGTTCTAACCGTGTTCTTTCGATTTCTAAGGATCTCTAATCATTAATTGATTCTTTCACGTTTATATGATGATTAATGAGATTTTTTGAAAACGTCATACAAAAAATTGCAATATATTATGCAATATTGGTTTTAGCATTTAAAATCTTAAGTTGAATCTTAATCTTATTAAATAGTAAATCTTATCTTTATTAAAACCTTTTTCTTATATTTCGTGTAGTGCTACGTATTTTAAACTTTAACCAAAAGTCCGAAAATACGAAAAAATTTCTTACTCCTTTTGGGATTTAGATATATCTTTATACGACATACATAAAATCGATTCCTGAAACGTGCTACCCAGAACTCTAAATAAAAAGTTGGAATTGTTGGAAAAAAAATTTAATTCTCACGAGACTTAAATATATTTGTACACATCATATAAAAAATTGTAATTTTCGAAATGCGGAAATCTATTCTATTATAATTATTATATTTTTTTAGTTTTAACCGTATTCTATCGAAATAGAAGTAGATTTAATAATTAACAGCGTCAATTAATTTTTTCACGTTTATTTGATCGCCCGGTGACAAATATACTGTTAGGTTTTCGCAAAATGTCACACGAATAATCGCGATATCTCTTGTAATATTGGTTTCAGCGTTAAAATGTTAAGAGTTTTTTTTATATTTTGTGGGGTGCTACTCAGAACACTAAATAAGAAGCTCGGTGATAGAGATACTGTCTAATATACGTATCTTCTTCTTCGAGTCCTTATATTTTTATGGCTTATCAAATTCCGTTGTCTCAAAATCGTATCTCATTGTCAGCATCTGTTGCGCTTCCTTCTTCTTGTGATGTCCATCGGAATATCTTCTGCGGCTATTTGTCCTCAGGCATTTTTAAAAGATGTTAAAACGACTAAAGCTCCCTTTTCTCTCAATTATTGTCTTTTTCACTTTCATTTAATTTAAAAATATTAATATAAAAAATATTACTACAGTATCTCTCTTAGTCTGACTCTTTCCTCTCGATTTGTCCGGCATGGGTAATTCTATCAGTAACTACGTTGTCGTCGGCGTAGCTCTTACATTAGAGTATTCAAACCTTCTCACCCGGCAAATGCCTCCGTTGCGAAATATGCTCTTCGAAGTTTATTAAATGTCGTTACACAATATTTATGAACATTAATTACTCATTGATAATAGTAAAGTAAATTAAACATGATAATAATATGAAATAATAATATGAAATTAAACAGATCATAGAAAGTGTAACTCTTTTTAAAATAACGATGAGTATCTTTACAGAAGAAGATAAGTTGCAAATACAGTGCAGCAAATAAAGAATAATGGTTCGGCAATAGTGCTTAATTTAAATCGATTATTTGGGAATTCAGTTATTATGATTTATAATGATTGCCAATCATAAATACGCAAGGGCGTTATGTATCGCTCGATTCAAACCACGAATGATACAAATGTTGCAGTCCATCAAGAATACTGTGCCCGAATAGTAGGCCCTCGAGAGCACGCATAGTATATATATAAAAGTTATAAAAAACGGTTATCACAATTACAGTTTTTCATTAAACAAAAAATATAGAAAATATATATGATCTGTCAAAAATTGGCGCATGAATAGTGAAAAAACTAAAGATTTATAATTCAACAATTTCCTGGTTGTCTTTTCTACTAACAATAAGTTATATTAAGAGAAACTACAGAGGGAAACTGATAACATTTATTTTTTGATACAACCGAATATATACGTGTCAGTTCACAGCATCGTCATTGGCTTTCATGGAAAATAGTGAACATTTAGTAACTAAAAGTTTTATAATTTGATGACATGTAAGATGCGTCGTGATTAGTTACAAAAAGAAATTTTGAAAAGCTAGAAAAGATCTCAAATTGATGTACTAAACACATTTCAAAAAATGATATACGTAAGAAAGCATCGATTTGATTAGCACATTGGAATTATACAGAATATCGATAGAATCACTATTGATAGCTGGACCGCCAAGAATTGCGCGGAAACTGTTTGAGCGCAAGCATTTACAAAAAGAAAAAAAAACAAAATTATTATGTCAAAAACGGTATTATGTGTTTTAGTGAAAGTGTTAATGTTAGCGAAAGCGGATATTTTGTCAAATTATCCGGATTTAGACTTCATACAGGTAAGAGACTGCTTTGTTGAATAAAATTAAATGTTATTATAGCTAATAGTTTATTTGAATAACTAAAACTGTATATGGTAATAAAATATATAGACTGTATAATAATAAAATAAAACTATATAACATAAAACATTAGAAAAATATATATGATGTTATGAAAAAAGAGAATGTATAAATCTTGGAAATTTTGTTCATAAATGGATGTTATATAGTACAAAATTGAGCTTAATTAAGATGTATTAAAACTTGATTGTATTATCTCCCTCTCTTTGCTATTTTTAAAAATAAGTATTTTTCGAACATTAATAAGATTTCCTATTTCTCCTCCGCTATATTAATACATATATATGCTGACACTTGAACTGATTTTTATGTGGTTTTTCTTCAACTCCTAAAACCTCTTTATTTTTTAAATATTTATAACCATTTATTAGTATAATAAGATTTATAAATTAGTTTCTATTTAACAAAAATAATTTAGAAAGTCAGCATCCTTTTTTATGTTAAGGATAGTTATATATAGGGGAAAGTAGGGTAAAACCAGGTACTTTTTTGGATTTGTTTTCCTACAAAAAATCAGAGAGTAAAAAGAATTTTGCCGACCGTTAGTATTCTTTAGTGGACCTTAAAATACGAGAAAATGAGGCTAGTCGCTGAAAAAAAATATTTGGTTACCAAGAATAATAAGATTTTTTCTAGAAGTCAAAATACCCGGTTTTTTCCTACCAATAGGGTAAAACCGGGTACACCTTTAAAAACATGTAAAACACCGTGCAATTATAAAATCTAGATTTAGTTTAATTAAAATACAATACAAAGATGTATTTTATTGATAAAAATCATAAATAAAGATATCCTCTTGTTCTACATTGTTGCTGAACTTTCTTATTTAATTTTTTGACTTTAGGGGTCTCAAAAAGCTTTTTTTTAATGGTTCTTTTTTCTGAGTGGTAGTTTTTGTTTCTAACTGTTTTTTTTTTGTAGGGAGAGACAAAGTCAGGATAACAGTTTTTCCTCTTTTCATTACATGAGGTGTGTAGATATCCGGTTTTGCCCCAATACAAGAAAAATAACAAACACGGCAGCTGTATATTTCGGTGTACAAAGTGACGATCAAAACTAATGCAATATACTTTAATATGTAACAAATGCAATGCTGCATTCACCGAAGCAGATGCCATGTGTAGAAAAAATCCATAACGACTCGATTGTTGCCCCGATATTGATCATTGTTGGCCCAAAAATTGTAAACTTCTCTCAAAAAAAAAATATCGTGTGCACATGGCCACAGTTCATCTCAAAATAATGTTGACATCAATCTACAACTAATAACACGAGTTAGCCAAAGATTGTAGCACTTATCACGAAGAAACAGAGGTACCCGGTTTGACCAGCCTACCCGGTTTTATCCTACTTTCCCCTATACATATATAACAGAACAGAACTACTAAATATCAAAACAAAGTCGAGTATCGGTGTAATGAAGTTTCAAGTTGTATCAATTAACTCTAACAATAAAACCAATAGTTACAGAAAATCAACAATATATACAACCAACCAATTTTTTGCTACGCCTTCGACTTTATATATGATTTTAATTGTACATATATTTATTATATAGTTATATGCAGACGATCTTATGTAGGTGATATACATACATAGGTTAATTATAACATCGTATTCTCCAGAATTTGTTCGCGTTAAAAAATGTAACGATAACCGAAAAGAATTCGACAAAAGTTTGAATACAAGAATTTATATAATTTATTTAATTTCTATGACCATAAAAAGACAATACTTATAACATTTATATTCTTGAAGTTAAACAAACATTGTTGAATCTTTAACAATAAACAAATTTTAAAAAAAGAATTGTGTTAAGATAAAGTCACTTACTTTGAGAACCAAGTTACCGTAAAAAAGAACAAATCGTTAAATAAAATTGTTTCAACAATCGAAAAGAGCTACACTTTCATGTATTATTTGCTAAATGGAACGGTTATATGATTTCTCATTAACCCTCATCTATTCTGCGTGACTTTGGACTATCGCACACAAATTAACACAGCTATAGTATATGCATAGCAAACCGTCTGATTGAACGAGCATCGATTAAGTCACCATATTCATTTACGTAACATGCTCGTGGTCCAGACGGTCTTATTGACCTTTATTTAACGCAGCTACAATATATCAATTTGTGTATGATAGCCCTTTCTGTTTGATATAAGAATCATGTTTGATATGCAAGAAGATTATAATTTACCTCTATTTTTTTCTTGCTTTTATTTTTACTTTAAATTTTTTTTTTTAATTATAATCAACTTAAGAGATAATCAACTTAATGTTTTTATATATAATTATGCCAGTATATATGATCGTAAAAATTCTAGAAAGCATTTTGAGCAAACCAGCATCTCCCAGAGCATTTGTAGAGTTCCACAATGGATTCCTAAATGAAGAAAACGACATTTTTGTGACATTCAGGTAAAAAATCTTAATTCTCAGTCTGTATTCTTTTAAATTTGACGACACATACATATAAAAACGTTAATTCTCTGTTATAATTTTAGTAAATATAAAAAAGTCAAAATATTATTTTTTTTACAGATGGAATCAACCTGAATTTACAGACGAAGTAATACAAGGATATACAGTGCAGTGTTGGTTCATCAAGAACCAAAAAGAGATTCAAATCTGTAACAACAAAAGTATCTCACCTACAATATTGGAGTGCACGGTGCACCATCTAAAATCTAACATGATATACTACTTTCAAGTACGAGCGCATACTAAAGTTGGTGCTGGCCCTTATACAGATTTAATTAATGTATCAACTACGCATGAAAATCCAATACCGCAATTATTGATGGTAACGAAAGAAGGTATCGATATACGGGATCTGGATTCAAAAATCAACGTTAATTTAGTTAAGGATATGAAAGTGACAAGTGCCATTTATTCGAGAGTGGAACATAAAATTTATTGGAGCAACGAAGAGAGAAAGCTAATGATGTTAAAGATAAATAAAAACAATATTACAAAAACAGTTAAGCTTCAAAATATTGCGCGCAATCTCTGCATTGACTGGGTAGCAAGAAATCTATATTGGATAGACTTAGACAAGTTTCATATTCATAACGCTATTATAAAGCTCGACTTAACAATGTGGGAAAATGGCATAGTCAAATACGATAAAGTTTTGAAATTAGAGCCCTTTTTGAGTAATGCCGATTTAATTTTACTGCCGTCTATAGGGTACGTTAACTTTCACCTATTTAAAATAAATGAACAATTATTTTCATTAAAGATTTATACTGATTTGTAATTTTTCAATAATTTCGTATGACTTTATAATTAAGATCAAAAGTTATAAAAGAAATAATAAATTAATACAAATTTATTTATAAGAATTTTAAATATTCACTATAGTATATATAATTCTTTTTCTATAATTGTTATAATAATGTTCTATAATAAGTAAAATGATGCATATATTCTTTAGAACTTTATATTGGACAAACACTATCGGTTATGATCCTCAAACAATGCAATCGGATCTTGATGGAAAGAACGCTCGAATCTTTCAGGAAAATAGATCCGTCATGACAAGATTTAGATTCATGAAAATTGACATAAATACTAAGAAGCCGCTAATTTACTGGCTAAGTGATCCTTCCTTATTTGTGACAAACTTTAATGTTTCTATGAGCAATTTCCTTTTACACCCCAAATACATTTATAGATTGTACTTCAAATATTTAGCGATTGACAAGACAAATATTTACATTTTACTTAGCAATGATTATATATATGTCTTGAAAAAAAAGTATGCACTTCTCGAGAACGTAGACGCATAAATTTATTCAATTTTAAAATGAATGATGGGTATACATGATTATATATATGTCTTGAAAAAAAAGTATGCACTTCTCGAGAACGTAGACGCATAAATTTATTCAATTTTAAAATGAATGATGGGTATGCATGATTATATATATGTCTTGAAAAAAAAGTATGCACTTCTCGAGAACGTAGACGCATAAATTTATTCAATTTTAAAATGAATGATGGGTATACATGATTATATATAAAAAAGAAAAAAAATTAAAATATAATATTAGTTTTCGTCTGAATGTGTGTGAGTGTGTGTGTTAGTTCGCGGGTGTTACATTAATACGGAGGACATCAGTCAGAATGCAAGG